ATTAAATAATCCTTGGGAAATATTTTAAATAATGCTTCAGTATAATATTGAGAAGACATGTGGCCCTCATCTTTTGCCTTATTAGTAAGTTTTGGATAATTTTTCTTAACACAGGTTTATATATATTATATATGTTTTATATAAAATGTATGTATATTTATGTTGTCAGTCTCTTATGTGTTTTGGAGTGCATTAGTACTTCTCAAATAGTTAATGGTGGATATGAGAGCAAAAATATAAATCCTTTTGTTAGTAACAATCTTCTTTTGTTACTAGCTGATAACTCTAATTTCAGGGTGAGTGTGTTATTTCATATAACAAAATGCTCAAAGGTAGGGAAAAGAGATAAAGTGAGGGAAAAGATGAAAAGTTTTAGATACAATAAACTTTGAGGGTTACATTAGAATTTTAATTTATCCATTCTATTTTTGTGGTTCATTATCAGAAATAATGGATACTTCTAAGTTTCTTGTCAGTGGAGGATGCATCTCACCAAAAATGTGAAAATTATGTAGTAGCTGGTCTAATAACAGGAAAGACGAACAATGAAATGAACAAATATTTAATAGTAGTAATGACAGAGGCTTGGCTCTGGTTAAAATTTCCTTATAAGTTTTGAGGAATGTGGTAATTTTGCTGTCCCCAACTACATAAGGCTACTATTAAGAAGGTCAAGGTCATGCAGGCAACACTAATGGAATTTGCTAGCCCAGTAGTTCCTACCAGAAACTGAAAAGTTCCTACATTAGGGTGGTCATATTTAAGTTGGGAACAAAAAACATTCATTCAATGTAAAATATATCCTGTCTGTCTTGATCATGTACTACCAATTTAGTTAGAATTTTTTGTTTTGTTTTGTTTTTTCTTCTAATAGAACACATATAAGGACTTTTTTCTGACTTAAAAAACAAACCCTCTAATCTTTTACCATTTTTCTCCTCTGTACTTTTTTTTTTTATCCTCACCTGAGGACATTTTTCCATTTTATTATTCAGATAGAGTGGGAGGGAGAGAGAGAGAGAGAAACATCGACGTGAAAGGGACACATCGAGTGGCTGCCACCCACATGACCAACCAGGGTCAGGGACAAACTGCAACCAAGGCATGCGCCCTTAGTGGGAACCAAACCCGGGTCTCTCTGGACTGCAGGCTGATGCTCTAACCACTGAGCCAAACTGGCCAGGGCACCTCCTCTATTTTTAAATACCTACTTTGTTCTTGTTCATCCTTACCTGAGGATATTTTCTTCACTGATTTTTAGAGACAGTGGGAAGGAGGGAGAGAGAGAGAGAACCATTGACGTGAAAGAGACACATCAATAGGTTGCCTCCTGCATACGCTTCAACTGGGGCTGGGGATTGAAACTGCAACTCAGGTACATGTCCTGGATTGGGAATCAACCTGCAACCCTTTGGTCTGCAGGCAGATGCTCTTACTGCTGAGACAAATCGGCTAGGGCTACTTTTATTTTATTTTTTAAATCATCACCTGAGGATATGTTTTTATTCATTTTTATAGAGAAAGAAAGGGGGAGAGAGAGAAAGAGAAAAATATTGATGTGAGAGAGAAACATTGAAACACTGACTGGTTGCCTCCCATTTGCATGTGATGACACTCCAACCAACTGAACCACCCAGCCAGGGTTAAACATCTGATTAATTCCATTGACTTCTACATTTTCTTCAAATTATTGATGCAATTGCCCAAAATCATAGTAAGCATTTTATACCTACCCAAATGACTTTAGAATCTGATTTATTTTCTTCTCCTCTTTGTCCCTTATTAGTGTTTCCAGGATCTTTCAATATCTGAGCTATTGCTCTTCCAGACTCCTTAATCTCAAGACTCCATACCCTTTTTGGTTTTATGGACTTCCTTCTCTATCGGTCTTGGACTGGAAAGTTCAGATGCTGGATGTCATCACTACCAGAACTTGTTAAACTTATGAGATCTCTTGTCGGCCATTTCTCTTCTCTGACCCAATTGCTTTCATTGCTTTCTCTTAAGCTCACACATCACAACTTGCCAGACCTGCCTTCTAGTGCTTTTCATTGCTAAGCCCCTCCCATTTGACTCAGCTTCCTCCTGGGTCCACAGGGCTCTATCCAGCCTTAGATTCCAAGGTCCACTGCTTTGTGCTGCCCTTGCCAGTTACCTGGCCTTCCTCAAACCCTTATGCTTTGCTCTGTCTGTGGTATTAATCTCTTCCAGAGGTCTCCGGGCCTATCCTTGAAACACAGATGGGTCATATTTGGTCCAGAAATGGAGGAGGCCAATGGAAGAGGCTTGCTCCTTTGTTAACAGATTTTGTTTTTGTTTTTCCTGTACAAACAAACAAAAACCCATCTATTTAAATTGGCTCAAAAATGGAGAAATTTGTTATTTCACATAACAAAATGTTCAAAGGTAGGGCAGGTTCCAGGTGTAGTATCCCAGGACTTTGGCTTATTCTTTCTGTTTCTCTTTGTTCTGTCCTCATTAATGATTAGCATATTCTCAGGATGACCACAAAATGACTGTAGTATTTCCAGGTGTCACATTAAGATACAACCATGTCCAGAGAAACAGAGGGTACTTTTCTTTTCTCTAACACATAGAGAACACCTTTTTTTCACAAGTCCTTGCAGATCCCCCTTCATATCTCATTGGCTAGAACTGGGTAACGTGATCTCCAAATCAATTATAGACCATGAAATGGGACCACTGGGATTTATTGAGACCAATCAGGATTTGCCTCTGGATCTGGGACTTATGTGGAAGAGGTTATATCCAAACAAACAATATTGAGCAGACAATAAAGAAGGGAAAAAAGATGTTGGGTAGGTAATCAACAGTATCTGCTATAGTGTGATATGATATACCATTAAGAGAAGGACTTTCTAGTCATAAAAACTAAAACTTTTTATTTTTTTGAGAGAGAAAGGGAGAGACAGAGAAACATCAATTTTTTTGTTCCATTTATGCATTCATTTGTTGATTTTTGTATGTACTCTGACCAGGGATTGAACCTGCAACCTTGACATATTGAAATGATGTTCTAACAAACTGAACTACCCAGCCAGGACTAAATGCTAAAATTTAATAGTTTAAATTTGATTGTTAATTCAGCCATTAACATTCCTGTATATTTAACCATGGAAGTTCTTTTATTATTATTTTAGGGGAGAGGAGGTAAGGATTGGGGAGATCCTTTTTAGTTTGTAACTCCTAGTTTGTAGATTTTCACTTGACCCCCACAGTCTCCTTTCTTTATAATGTTGAACACATCCAACCTCACCATTCTGTCTGAACAAAGCTCTTTCTGCTCACTTCTCATTTTCACCCTAACTCCTCTCTCTCCCCTAGTCTCACTATAATCAGATGGCTCCACCTGGTTCATTAAGGAGACTGAAACCATGAACCTGGACCTGTCCCTGGCATAACTAGTCTCTGTCAGTCTTCTCTTTCGTTCTCTCTTCTTTAACACTGTCCCTTTTGAGGCGTCCTGGGGAGCTTCCATAGAGTACATACTCAAAAAGTGTTTACTGAATGAATGGATGAATGACCGAACCACTTTGGAGAAAAACTTAGCAGTATCTGCTGAAATTTAGAATGCACATACCCAGCAATTCCCCACTGTCCATTATTTATAGTCATGCACACGTGCAAATAGAGAATTTACAAGGTTATTTGCTGTGGCATTGTTTGTAACAGTGAAAGGGGAAAACAACCTAAGGTCAACTTTTAAAATATATCATCTACATCTATACAATAGAACGCTATATAGATATGAAAGAATCTCCAACTCTGAAAATTCTTTTGCTACCTATAGTAAATATACATACGAGTCATGACCATCTTAAGTCCCTGGTAATGTCATCATAAGAATGATTCCTTTAATTGGGCTTTTAATGGTAAAAAGAGTAGAAATGGACAGGTAGAAAGAATGAATAACTTTTACAGTTTTATTTAATGAGTATTAATTTCCTTGCAGAAAACACAGGATTTCTACCAATTAAATAATATAATAAGAAGCTGTATCTGTACAAATATAACCTTGTTCAACAAAAATATTCTTTGTAGATCCAAATTCATGAATAGGCCTAAACTGGCAGTACTTATTGTTCATTTATTATGGGTAGATTTCCCATTTTACAAACAAACCTCTTATTTATGGGAAGAGGTTCACGGTTTCAGAATGTCTTTGGTGTATATTTCCTGACACCGGAGGGGCAGAATTCCCCTGCTGTCCACCAAGTGACATGCACTTGCAGCTGCAGGGCATTGTGTGGGGGCACTCTTCTACTCCAGAATTAAAACAGCTAACTCACAAAACAGAGTATATGTAAAGACATAATACATACAGGATAATTGCCTAGTAGCCATATACGCCCTCCAATCTTATCAAACTATAATTTACTTGTGGTCTCTCAATTAAAATTTTCTAAGTCCTGTCACTTTACTACCCTTCCCTTCTCCCCAGTCAATGCCCCCCACCCTCACCCCATTTATCTCATCTGGAATCCTATATAAGCGTCTATTCAAATACCACCACTTCAAGGGCCAGGCAACGTCCCATCTTACCACTAAACGGTGAAGTCTTCCCTGACTATTATACTCTACAGTAATCTAGGCTCTGACCCATTTTCACTTTATCAAGCATGTGGCTTCAATCTTTTTACTGTTAATTAGCTTTTCACAAGTTTTTGACATATCTTCCAATTAGGTTGTCAGCTCCTTAAAGTCAGATTCCCATATTCTGTTTTTCCTATATTCCTCATGCACCTACATAGTAGATGCTCTCCACGTCCTGGTTTTAAATTTTTTTTTTTTTTTTAATCCTCACCCGAGGACATTTTTCCATTTTTTGTTCAGACAGAGTGGGAGGGAGTGAAAGAGAGAGAGAGAGAAACATCGACGTGAAAGAGACACATCGAGTGGCTGCCACCCGCATGACCCAACCAGGGTAAGGGACAAACTGCAACCAAGGTACGTGCCCCCAGTGGGAACCGAACCCGGTCTCTCCGGACCGCAGGCCAACGCTCTAACCACTAAGTAAAACCGGCCAGGGCTACATGTCCTGGTTTTAAAAAGTAACATGGTCAATACAAATGTGACCCAACATATACATTTAGTGTTATTTACAGATTTTTCTAGAACTAATCTACATTCTCTGTATAAACATGGAGCTTCTGTTAGCTCAACACATTTTTGTTTTTAGTATCAGAACTCATCAGCTGACTCTGTGTCCCAGCCACAGGACTGCAGTTGTTCATCCTGTGGGAATTCAACTTCTATGTCATAAACAAAATTTGGATCATCTTTCTTCTTCTGATTTTTCTCAAAAAGTTCATCCATGATGCTCTTCCTTTTGGCAAGTTCCTTATCATCTAGTTTGTTCAGGTCTTCCTCAGGATCAATGGTTGTTTCCCGTCGAATTTGTTCCATTGTTTCTGCCAAACTCTGCCCCCATAAGTAACCTCGTAAAAAACTGAATAATTTCTCTAGCTGTCTCAGGGACACTTGTTCCAAGTAATTCTTGTGTCGTGGATTATTCTTTAATTGTTCAGCAGCTCTGTTGCAATCTAGGAGGGAAGAAACAAAACGATATACTACACAGAACCTGTACACCACAAGCTATTGGTGCACCACAAACTACTGACAGCATTATCTGCCATTATAGCCAAGTAGCTAAGTAGTTTTTTGGGAATGAATTATTCTGCAGAACTATTTCTTTACATTGAGCTTTGAGTGTGGTAGAGGAAGAAGGGATGTATTTTTTTTATTTTCTTAACTTAAAATCACTTCAAGAGATGTTAAACACTTTCAACTGAAGAAAATGTCTGAGAAGAAAAAGTAGTATTACAGAATTAGGTATTAATACTGGTAGTAAGAAAATGTCGAGACTACAAATAAAAAACACATTTGAAGGGAGAAAAGGAAATTAGTATTATTGAATTATGGTTTCTCATTTAACTCACATGGAAATTCTGAAAGGGAGGGGATTATCAATTTCCTCTTACAGATTAGAAAACTGAAGCTCACTGAGAGTTAAGTAATTTAGCCAGGGTCACACATCTGTCCCAGTAAAGACATGATTTGAACCTAGGTATGTTTAACTCTGAATGCCATTGCATAAGACTCAAATCATTCTTATTAAGTGATTTAGAGAATATTTAAGATAAAACATGAGGTACCTGAAAACTTTGAAAAGTTTCGGACAGGCATGATGCGCTGGCGACTTTTCCCCTTCATTTCATTCTCATAGATTAAGATAATAGCGGGAGGCTGGAACCTAATGCCACATTTCTTGGCAGTACACATCATTCTCACATACACTTCAGGGTAAATCAGAGGAAATCTGATGAAAATGTGTTAGTCACATAATGACTTCCTGAAAAAGGGAGTGGGGAATTAATGTTGGATAAATCACATTCCTTCTTATCCCTCCTCCCCAAAAGATTTGGCTCTAGTTCAGATCTAGATCAGTTCTAGAGATGCATGTTCAACCTATCAATCTCAATATTTCTAGAGTTACCCTGAAAGTTTAGTTTGGCCCTGGGTTAGCCTTAGTCTGTTGGATCCCTGATTCAGTGAAGTGTGTAGGTATGTTTATACATGAGCCTAGAAATGCAGTTCAGCTTGAATCTCTTAGTGTACTGTATTCTTAATCAAAGACTGCATATGAACCCATGAGTCAGCCCAATAACTGACTTACAGGATCTTTTTTTTTTTTTTTAGTGTTTTTATTGATTTGATTTTTTAGAGAGAGAGGAAGGGAGAGAGAGATAAAAACATCGATGTAAGAGAGAAACATCGATCAGCCGCCTCCTGACACGTACCTCCACTGGGGATCTAGCCCGCAACCTGGGCACATGCCTTGCCCAGGAATTGAACCGGGACCTCTCAGTCCATGGGACAATGCTGACTCCACAGAGCCACACTGGCTGGGCTACAGGATCTTTTTTATTTACCAGTTAAACAAGTATGTACAAGCACCCTCTATGTCAAGGTACTAAAAGTCTTTTAAACCTTAAACATTGTATGTCCTGAGAGGTTCACCAGACCAGATGTTTCCCTTGTACTTTCCCAATCATTTTACTCATTGAGTTTTTTGTAATTACTTATTTAATAATTTATCTTCCCTTCTATTCTCTATGCTCCATGAGGGCAGGGAACATATCCACTGATTACCACAATATTAATATCCCAGCACAATACCTGGAATGTACTAGGCATTCTGTACATACTTGTTTAATTCAGTGTATTAAAATAAGACAGCCTTGCCCAGGCCGATTTGGCTCAGCGGTTGGAGCACTGGCCTGCGGACCAGAGAATCCCGGGTTCGGTTCCCGCTAGGGGTACATACCAAATAAAAAAATAAAATAAAATAAGACAGCCCCTGTACATCCCAAAAGTTTTTAGTCTAGAAGTCTGATAAAAATGGCAGACATAATGCAGAATCAGCATATACAAGGCAATAAAGTTTACATGACTTTTAAATTAAACTTATTTGTCTCATTATATATTTTTTTCAGTTACAAGAAACACAGCTGTTCTGTAGGTTCATACTTTCTATTTCCTCTTCCTTCCTCTGCCCCCAATGCCAAAGTACACTTAATTATAGGGGCTGTACTTTTTTACCTCCTTATCCTCCATATTGTGCCTGTTCTTTGCTTGCTGTTCATTATTGTTTGCCCTCTAGGAAGGTGTTCTGCTTTCTGGCCTTTCCCAGTTAATCCCTGATTATTGTAACTTACTTTGGATATAGCATTGAACAGTAAATAGAGTAGTGGGTCATTTTTGCTTTTGTAAATTGTTTTCTTAGAGCACAAAGATGATGTATTGCTTATCAACTGCAAAAAATAAAATCACTAGAAATCATACTGCATGAGAGGTAAAAGTCTAATTTGTTGCAGTGGGACACAGGAGCCTTCCCAATCTGGCCCCCTGGTAGTCTCAACTTGCTTTGTGTATCTTCCTTTGCACTCTCCCCTCCCCTGCCCCATCTACTCCCTACCCCCCACCTCCACCCCTTTTCTGGAGCCAGCCACTTGGAACATCACCTGTCTCACCTTCAACCCTTCACACTATTAAAAAAAAAAAAAGTATAGGGACTGCTTTAGATGTGACTATATTATTCCTGGGAAAATTTGCAAATACCAAGTAGAAGTACCAAGCAGCATAGGGTAATGATATCTTCATAAACTCAGTTCTGTCAGCGACTCACTATAGGAACATATTTATTTAATACATGTTCACTGTAGAAAACTAGAGGTGAAGGTGGAACAGGGGGAGGAGAAAACAAAATAATCACCCTTGATTCCTTCCTGTCTTTTTTCTAGACATACAGTTTTATTTTTTTTAACTGTAGTATGTTTTTTATATTATACAATTTCCTGCCTTTTATATTTAACAACTTAAGTGATTTTGTTCTTAAAAGTTCCACTAAATGTTGCCCTGGCCAGTGTTGCTCAGTGGTTAGAGTTTCGGCCCTTGAACCCAAGGGTCATCAGTTCAATTCCCAGTCAAGGGCACATACCTGGGTTTCTGTTGGTCCCAGCCCATGGGGTGTGTGCAATGATGTCTAGGATGTTTCTGTCTCTCCCTCTCTCCCTTCCATTCTGTCTAAAAAAATCAATGGAAAAAATATCCTTGGGTGAGGATTAACAACAACAAAGTTTCAACAAAATGTCAATTTTTATTGACTGCCAAATGTTTGTTTTAAAGATATACCACTTACCCCTTATTGTTGGATGTAAGAATTTTTACTCTTAGAAAATTAATAATATATAAATAACTGCTTTTTCAAATTTCTGTGCTCTGCCCCTGACCTAATGCAATGATCCCACCCCACCCACTCTTTCTTTTTCTTATTTTTTTAAAAATATGTTTTATTGATTTTTTAAAGAGAGAGGGGGAGGGAGAGAGAGAGACACACATCCATGTGTGAGAGAAACATTCATCTGCTGCCTCTTACACGCTCCCTACTGGGGATTGAGCCCCAAACCCCGGACCTCTCAGTCCATGGGACTGAGCTCAATCCACTGAGCCACACTGGCTGGGCTCTTCCTATTTTTTAAACAAACAATAATCCCAGTTCACTTCACTAAAATTTGGTGTATTAATAAACTTAGTAGAATCTGGCAGATCCTACTAAGCACAGTATAAATTCCACACACTCAAGCAAAAGGCTGTATTCATGAAGGACGTATGCAACTGATACTCAATAATGTAGTTTTTTTACTACAGACTACATTTTATTTTTAAAATGTAGCTTTTATTTTTACTAAAATAATGTTTGTATTTTGTTTAAAATGTAAAATAGTTCTACGAGGCTTATAATAAATAACTACCGTCCCTTTCCCTTCCTCCTCCATAGGCAACCAGTTTCATTTCTTTCAAGTGTTTTTCCCAAAATTTATTTCCATAGTTCTTAATAGCGTGCGTATACTACTATTTTCAGTTTTATTATCTTTTGACATCTTTCCTCTTTGAGACATCCGTCCTACAATCCTCTGTTCTGCCCCAATCTGCAATGGATACTCTCGGCCTATTTACAGATTCAACTTAATCCATGAAGACAAACACATTTACCCAACTCTTCTTCCTAGACAGTAACACTCCACCCCCCACCCCCCCTTCCCCATAGGGACTGCCATGGACTAGCCAAGCATCCTCCACAGCACCTAAAAGTGTACGGATTTTGACAACAGGCAGACAATCCTCTCCCTACTCACTTCTCCACTAGTGAAAGACTGACTTTTCTACCCTTAGAGAAGTACAGAAAGTACATCTTCTGCAGGCCATCGTCTAAAACCTCCACGAGGGGGTGGTTTCCACCCAACTGCAATGCACAAAGCACTTGACTCGACTTTGCGGCCGGGCGGAGCCTGGCGCTGCAGAAAGAGGCGACCGCCGCAGTCTCGCGGACGTGACTACGGGGTGAACTCTCCACAGGGAGGCCCGAATCCACAAATACCTGGATATGGAGGTGGAGGCCGACAGCGGGGGATGCCGGCTCCGAAGCCAGCGCGCGGAGATCAGGTTCAGGTTAGAAGGCCACGGAGCCGTTCGCGCAGAAACAGCCCTGGTGCACTCACGGCGCTTGCGCCTCTCGTCGCCCCGCCCCCGACCGGGAAGGCAAGGGGCGGGGCAGCGAGGGAGCGAACCGGGGCGGCCGCCTCCTGAGACGCCGGAACTTTCGGGGGCCGGGGCCGCGGAGAGCTGGGGGAGCCGCGGGGCCGAAGGCGTGCGCGCACCGAGACCCCGTCCCCGTCGCTAACTCCGTGGCTGCGCGCTCTGGGAGCGGCGGGAAGCGTATGCAGGCTGTCCACCCTCATTTCATCCAGGCGCGCTCCTCTACGGTGCACATTCTCCAGCGCCCTGGCTGCCCCGGCCGTGGTCCTGGCGGTCCGGGTGGTGGCCTGGCTGCTCCTCTGGGAGGCGGCTGGGCGCACCTGCACGTCCGCCGCAGCCCTCACCGACGCGGGTAAAGGGAGGGGCGTGGCTGCGGGAGTGAAGGGGGGATTTGAGGGCGAAGGAGGTGTCTTGTCCCTTACGCGGTTTGCAAAGTGCTCGACTGTTTCCTGGTGCCTAGAACTGTGGGGTGAGCTGGAGGAGGTTAAAGGCCACCTGCCTCCTCTTCTCTCTCTGCGCCCGCCCCCCGGCGTAGCTCTGTGGACTCTGGAGAGTCGGGCTTTGTTGTTCCGTGGCAGGACTGGCCGGGCTGTTACCACGTGTGAACAAGTACAGCCTTGAAGCGTCTGCCTGTGAGGTGTGACTCCACCTGGGGGCGTGGGAAGAGGAGGACGCCTAGTTTGTCTCACTAACATTTTTGATAGAAGACTGGTTTGGCCTGGGGTTTCTTTATGACTCCGGTGTAGGCAAGCGAGTTGATTCATTTCTTTGGACCCCAGTCCGTGGGCTGCAGTGCTATGCTATCTATGTGTCACGGATCCAGCCCTAAGCTAAAAACGCTGCCCAACCCGCGTGGATCTTTCAGTGTGGTGGGGTAGACGGATTCCTGTAGTGATAATTAGAGAAAGCGGTAACCATTGATAGGGAAAGAAAAGTCAGAACAAATCACGTGAGTTTCTTCCTCTGGAAAATGAGGACATTAAACTAATATCTGCCAGTCAATGCAGTTCTACTTTTGTGTGTTTACATATTACATCTCCAAATTTATATGAAGAAAAGATTATGAGGCTAAAGAGATTTCTTTTTTTGTTTAAATTTTTTTCTTTATTGATTTTAGAGAGGCAGGGAGAGGGAGAGAGATAGGAAACATCAGTGAGAGAGAACATTGATTAACTGCCTCCTGCAGGCCCCCCACTGGGGATTTGGCCCACAACCTGGGCATGTGTCCTGACTGGGAATTGAACCAATGGCCTTTTGGTGTATGGGTCTTTGCTCAACCACCGAGCCACACCAGGTAGGCTAAAAAGATTTCTTAAACAACTGGACTTGGTGGTTTCTAAAGACTCTTCCCGCACTGGCAATTTATGATTAAAAAGGGGTCAATTTACAGAGCCATTACAGACCACAATAACCGAATAAAGTAATACTTAAGAGAAAAACTATTGAAGATGAATTCAAATGCAACAAATTTGTTTTGAAAATGGTACTTTTGCCTTTAAAAAAATCATAAATTGTTTAGTATTTGCTATATACTGTTTGTAAATCAGCCTTTCTACCATCCCAAGATGAATGTGGATATACTCCTCTCTAGTGTATATCCCAGTAGAATTTAACCCTATTTATCTGATTTTTTTCTCTAATTTACTGTTTTGGTATTTTAAAACTCTTATTCCCCTCCCCACTCCATTAAAATTAAACATGATGGCTCTTGCAGGTTTGCTCAGTGGTTAGAGCATCAGCATGCAGATGGAAGGGAATATATCTAATGTACCTAGCAACATAGAATACAATATGGTTTCAATGTGTTTGTTTTGATGTTCTTCCTTCATACTGCCAGCTTTTTTTTTTTTTATCCTCACCCAGGGACATTTTTCTATTTTTTGTTCAGGTAGAGTGGGAGGGAGAGAGAGAAACATTGATGTGAAAGGGACACATTAAGTGGCTGCCACCCGCACGACCAACCAGGGCCAGGGACAAACTGCAACCGAGGTACGTGCCCTTAGCGGGAACGGAACCCAGGTCTCTCCGGACCGCAGGCCGATGCTCTAACCGCTGAGCCAAACTGGCCAGGGCGATTTATGATTATTCTAAGTTTATAAAAGAACACCGAAAATACTCCAGTTTTTGTTTTTGTTTCTTTAAACCCTCTCAACATCTCCACAAGTCATAGTGTATTATCTTCTCAGTTGTTTTATTTAATATGTTTATCTTAATTTCAGAAAGAGGAAGGGAGAGGGTGAGAAAGATAGAAACATTGTTGAGATATAAACATCAATTGGCTACCTCCTGCACATCCCCTGCTGGGGATTGAGCTCGAAACCCAGGCATGTGCCCTGGCTAGGAATCAAAATGGTGACCTAGTGTATGGGACGACGGTCAACCAACTGAGCCACACTGGCTGGGCTGTCTTCTCAGTTTTATAGGTGTAGATGGTAGAATACAGAAGTTGCCAGTGTGTATCTAAACACAGTTTCAGTGAGCTGGAATAAAAACTGAGATTTTTCTGCCCTGGCTGATGTGGCTTAGTTGGTTGGAATGTTGTCCCATACACCAAAAGGTGGCGGTTTCCATATTCTAGTAAGGGCACATACCCAGGTTTCAGGTTTGATTCCCAGTCAGGGCATAATTGGGAGGCAACTGATGTTTCTCTCCCCTCTCACCATTCCCCACCCTCTACCCTCTTCTTCTCTCTAAAAAAAAAAAAACCTTGAGATTTTCTGGCTCTTTTTTAGCCATTCTGTTCTTTTTGATGTTCTGGAATTACCTGAATAAAGTAATATTGATAACAAACACATATAGCACTGTGTGGTAGGACCTGTTCTGATTACTTCTACAAAAATCAAGTTCTCATGATAACTAGCAGAACAATAAACTGTTTTGTGCAGTCACACAGACAGCGTTTTGAAGATAGGCAATCTAACTCCAAAGTCAATGTTCTTAACCCCCATGCTATACTAGAAGTAGATTTATATGTAGCTCAACTTGCTTCAGTTTTTATTTTTAATCCTCACCCAAAGTTGTTTTTTCAAATATCTTGGGGGGGGGGAGGGGAGTGAAACACATTGATGTGAGAGAGACACATTGATTGGCTGCCTCTAGCATGACCCTGACCAGAATCGAACCCGCAACTCTTTGGCTGGAATCGAACCCGTGACTCTTTGGTCTGAGGGACCACGCTCTAACCGCTGAGTCAAACTGGCAAGAGCAACCTGCTTAAGTTCTAAAAGTTTTTGGTCCAGCCGGTGTGGCTCAGTGATTGAGGGTCGACCCATGCACCAAGAGGTCACCAGTTTGATTCCCAATCAGGGTATCTGCCCAGGTTGTGGGCCAGATCCCCAGTGGGGGGCATGCAGGAGGCGGCCAATCAGTGTTCTCTCTCATCGATGTTTCAATCTCTCCCTCTCCCTTTCTCTCTAAAATTGATAAAGAAAAAAAATTTTTTTAATAAAATAAGACATTTTGTTTTTAGGTTAGTTAGATTTTCCAGACAAGTAAAGCCTATTAAAACAATTATTTTCTATTTATTTAAGTATTTTTTATTGAGTGCTTGTTTTATTTTTTAAAAAAAAACTTTTGGTTCTTATAGGCACAAGGGCCACTTGTTCTGAAATTATTTTGCGGCAAGAAGTTTTGAAAGATGGTTTCCACAGGTAAGTTGCCTATTGACTTATGCTTACATCAAAGTATTGTTTTATATAACATAAAACAAAAAAAATCAGTAGTTGAAAAATACATATACTGAAAAAAAAATCAGTTGCTTTTTTCCAATCGTGACAGATTTATTATAATATGGTTACAGTTTGAAATGATGATTAAAATAACTGGAGAGAAGGAGAAAACAAATTTGTTTACAATTTACCATATATTTAGAAGTTATATATATAATATCCCATTTAATCTCCATAATGGTTGTGAGATGGATGATACATTTCTTGTTTTTCAGGTAAGGTAACTAGGGCTGAGAATTGAAACAAGTTGGTAGTGGGTAGGGCAGTAGAGTTCTGGTTCCAGTTTAGGACTATCATACTCCAAAGCCATGTTCTTAAGTAGTAAGAGAGTATACCACCCTGAATCACTATTTTTGATTTACTTGGTTCCAAAGGACAAAGCTGTTTCCAAATTAGAAATTATTGTAAAAAATGAATATTTACCAGTATTGAAGATATTTATTTTTTTATTTTTTTATCCTCACCCGAGGACATTTTTCCATTTTTTGTTCAGGTAGAGTGGGGTGGGGAGAGAGAGGAACAGAGAGAGAGAAACATCGATGTGAAAGGGACACATCGAGTGGCTGCCACCCGCACAACTGCAACCGAGGTACATGCCCTTAGCGGGAACCGAACCCGGGTCTCTCAGGACCGCAGGCCGACACTCTAACCGCTGAGCCAAACTGGCCAGGGCCCAGTATTGGAGATATTTAAAAGACTGGTAAATAGTTGTGGAAACTGTACCATAAGAAAATTTCCTAGCCCTGGCCAGTTTGTGTCAGTGGTTAGAGTGTGGACCTGTTGGACCAAAGAGTCGTGGTTTCGATTCCAGTCAAGGGCACATACTTCATAGTTTTGGTTTGATCCCTGGTCCTGATCAGGGTTGTTCAGGAGGCAACCAATTGATGTGTCTCTCTCACATCGATGTTTCTCTCTCTGTCTCTCTCTCTCTCTTCTCCTCCTCCCTCCCTTCCACTATCTTTGAAAATCAATGGAAATCTTTGGGTGAGGATTAATAAAAAATAATAATAAATTTAAAAAATCAATAGAATGTTCTCGGGTGAGGATTAACAAAACAAAAATTCTGATACATTTATTTTAAAAATCATTTTATTGTATAATCACCTTAAGCTAAAATATCTCACTCTCCTCACTCTTCAAAGTTAGCCTGCTTGTGAATGACTAGGAGGTAGAGTAGAAAGAACTTGGGTGTTTTTTTTTTGTTTTGTTCTTAAACTCAGACAGATTTGGGATCAAAATGTAGCTCTGTTATTTAGTACCTATATGGCTTTAATCAAGTTAGTTAAGTCTACTACATTGTTAGTAAAATTGGATAATGATAGTATTTCCTCATTAGAGTTGTGAGAACTAAATCAGAGAATATATGGAAAGCCCTTTAATGTAGTGCTTGTCACATAGTACATACCCAGGAAATGTTAGTTATTATTATTAATAGTGAGATAGGTGATCAAGCTGGGCAATACAGTTTTAGTCAAAGAGGAGATATGACTATAAAGTAATAAAACTGACTTTGGGAAGGAAGTCACCTCTGAAAGGAGTTTTTGACAAAGTTCCTGACACGTTTTAAGCAATATCAGCGTAATTATGCCAAGTGTGTAGCTTCTCTCTTTAAAGTAATTGGGATGTATTCTCAAGAGGATTGGGAGATAATAAATAATGTAAAAATGATGGTGTAATCATAAATGATTCCAATAAGGAAGAAAGAAGTTCCTAGAGAGGCTATTGTGAAGGCAAAAGTAGCTGTCCAATGATAAGTACTGCAGATTAAAAGCAGGACATAAAACCAAATATGAAGAGGGACAGAACCCACACATATAGCTTCAGAAACTCGAAATCTGTTATTTGAGACCTTCAGAATATGCCAGTAATCATTGTTTTAAGTAAGGCTTTTTAAGCCCTGGTCTGAATGGCTACACAGGGGAGTTTTACTGATCATTCGAAGAACTATCACCTATTCTCCTCAAACTATTAAAAAACATTCAAGAGGAAGGAAGACTTCCAAGCTTTCTTTATGAGGCGAGCATAATCCTAATTCCAAAACCAAATAAAGACACTACAAAGAAAAAAAACAAAACACTACAAAGAATCAGATTACAGGGCAATATTGCTGATGAACATAGATGCCAAAATCCTCAGCAAAATAGAATCTAGCAATATACTAAAAAAATCATACACCACAACCAAGTGAGATTCATCCCAGGGATGCAAGGCTGGTACAATATTTGAAAACCGATAAATGTGATATACCACATAAACAAAATGAAAGATAAAAATCATGTGATCATATCAATAGATGCTGAAAAAGCAGTTGACAAAATCCAGCATCCATTTTTGATAATAATTCTCAACAAAGTAGGAATAGAAGGGTCATATCTCAACATAATAAAGGCCATTTATGACAAACCTACAGCCAGCATCATACCCAATGGAAAAAAACTGAAAGCATTTCCCTTAAGAGCAGGAACAAGACAGGGATGTCCACTTTTACCTCTTTTCTTTAAAAATAGTTTTCTTTATTGATTTTAGAGAGAGAGGAAGAGAGGAAGGAAGAGGGGGAGAGAGAGAGAGAGATAGAAACATCAATGAGAGAGAACATCGATTAGCTGCCTCCTGCATGCCCAGCTGGTGTGGCTCTGTGGATTGAGGATCGTCCCTTGGACTGAGAGATCCGGGTTCGGTTCCCAGTCAGGGCATATACCTGGGTTGCAGGTTTGATCCCTAGTAGGGGTCATGCAGGAAGCAGCCAATTGATGTTTCTCTCTCACATTGATGTTTCTATCTCTCCCTTCCTCTCTCTCTCTAAAATGTCAAAAATATATATATATATTTTAAAAATACATATATATAAAATATATATATATATATATATATATATATATATATATATGAAGTGGCCATTACCGCAAGGCTCATATAGCTCCTAAGGCTTTACCCTATTGAGATTTCTCTCTCTCTCTTTTTTAATCCTCACCTGAGGAAATTTTTCTATTTGTCTTAAGGTAGAGAGAGAGAAGGAGAGACAGGGTGAGAGAGAGAAACATCGATGTGAGAGAGACACATCGACTGGTTGCCTCCCACACGACCCTGACCAAGGCTGGGGTCAAACCGCAACCAAGGTACGTGCCCTTGGCTGGAATCGAACCTGGCACTCATTGGTCCCTGGGCTGATGCTCTACTGCTGAGCCAAACCGACCAGGGCACCTTATTGGGATTTCAACGGAAAGTTTTGGTTGGTATCCCCATTGGGATTTCTATGTTTTGGTTGGTTGGAATGCAAATGTCTCCCTACCTTGTGTGAATTTTAGCATTTCTCATCTTTTAGTTCCCTGGTCATTCTTTGCACATCTTGTGGAGTTACACCTTCCTCAGGCTTATCTCAGTATTCAACAAAAACTCCAGGAGACTCCCCAATTCAGATTTCTAGAGCTCTTTCTACATAGTTTCCTCGTCTCTGGAACTTAGTGCTGTAACTTCCAGCCACTTCCGCTTTCCTTAACTTGTTTCTGTTTTCTCACCTAAGCAAAGCTATTGTGCTGTGCTTTGGATCTCATTTCCAACACTTGGTCAAAAATGTGTCTCCAGACAGAAAGCTGGGACAATTATACATTTAGGTTTATAGTCCCCTTCAAATTATATTGGCACCTTTATTGAAAATATGTGTGTGTCTATTTTTGGAGTCTATTCCTTTCCATAGATCTTTGTCTGTTTTCACACTAATATAGCTATTTTCAACCTTTTTCATGGTGTGCCATGAGATGAACTAATTACTAAAATTGTGTGGCACATCAAAATGTATATTTTTTGCCAATCTGACAGAATATTTAGATATATTTTATTTTTATTTATTTATTTATTTTATTTTTATTTTTTTATCCTCACCCGAGGACATTTTCCCATTTTTTTGTTCAGATAGAGTGGGAGCACGAGAGAGGAACAGAGAGAGAGAGAGAAACATCGATGTGAAAGGAACACATCGAGTGGCTGCCATCCGCACGACCGACCAGGGCCGGGGACAAACTGCAACCGAGGTATGCGCCCTTAGCGGGAACCGAACCCCGGTCTCCCAGGACCACAAGTTGACGCTCTAACCGCTGAGCCAAACCTGCCAGGGCTATTTAGATATATTTTGATTCATTCACACTGGACGGCTATTGTGTTGGCTGTTGTCATTTTTTTGCTTGACAATCTAAGGGAAAAGAGGTCAGTGCCCCTGGCTAAATAGTCAAGTATTGCATGTTTAAAAAATTCTGTGGCTCACTGGTTGAAAATCACTGCATTTACATAATACTGTGGCTTATGACATGAATTTATGAAAGATCTAATGGGTGGTCTGACATGATATAAATATTTCACTTGACTTTGTAGTCTTCTTTATAATCTTTGAAATACAGTGTTTCTCCTAATTTTAATGTAATGTTATGCTATCTTGTTAACAATTGAATGAAGAGATTTACTTTAAACATATTTGTCTTACAGAGACCTTTTAATAAAAGTGAAATTTGGAGAAAGCATTGAGGACTTACAGACCTGCCGACTCCTAATTAAACAGTACATTCCAACAGGACTTTTTGTGGATCCATATGAATTGGCTTCATTACGAGAGAGAAATATAACGGAGGTAAACTATTAGAGGATTTTTACAATTATTAGAGGATTTTTTTGAGAGAAAATTTTTTAGGGATGCTATAATTTGGATTAAGACAAAATAGTATGCAAGAAAACATTGTAGTATTTGTTATTCATTTTGTAAAAGTGTATAAAATATAATTTTTTAGATAGTATAGGAGTATTCTTTAACAAGTGAGTGATACTTGTCAGTAGTAAGCCAACTAAACTGAGCTAGTTAAATGCTTTTTGGCAGGATGGTTCCTAGTCTAGTGATTAAGAAAATAATATATGTATTTAAGAAGATTAACCATGAATAAATACTGCTTCAACAGCAACTTTGTTAAATTAGAGAGACCTAACCCTATATCCTCGGGTGAGCTTGTGATAGTTTGTAAGCAACCTCATATCATTTTTAGGTAGGTCTACTAGATACATTTAATCAAATCTCTCATATTCTTTGAAAACAGCATTATATTAGATTGAAACATGAAATTGCTGTTTTGTAGGTCAAAATGAATATGCCATGTTTTTGAAACCTTAAGTTTTACTCAATCAAAATAGATCATATTAGCCTGGCTGGTGTGGCTTAGTGAATGGAGCATTGTCCCATGGACTGAGACGTCCCAGTTCGATTCCTGGTCAAGGCATATGCCTGGGTTGCAGGCTCGATCCCCAGTAGGGGGTGTGCAGGAGACAGCCGATCGATATTTCTATCTCACATCGATGTTTCTATCTTTCTCTCCCTTACTCTATCTCTAAAAGAAAATCAATAAAAACATATGTAAAACAAAACAAAACAAAATCGATAGGATTTCTGCCATGCCATCTATAGACCAGGGACCAGATATATTCTCCCACTTGAAATTAACATACAAGAATTAACATCCCAGTGTCAGAAAAATATTATATATTTCATTTTTATAAAGTTTTACATATTTCTGTTATAAGTTGTTCAAAGCCACCAATTACTATGTTTTAATTAGGTTTTTTAAAAAATATATTTTTGCCCTGGCCAGTTTGGCTCAGCGGTTAGAGCATTAGCCTGCGGACCAGAGAGTCCTGGGTTTGGTTCCCGCTAAGGGCACTTAACCTCGGTTGCAGTTTGTCCCTGCTCCTGTTGGGGTCATGTGGGTGGCAACCATTTGATGTGTCTCTTTCACATCAATGTTTCTCTCTCTCTCTCTTCTCCCCTCTCTCCCTCCTCCTCTATCTGCAGATAAATGCAAAAATGTCCTCAGGTGAGGATAAAAAAACAACAACATATATATACACATTTTTTTTTTTTTAAGCCCTGGCCTGTTTTGCTTAGTGGTTAGAGCATTGGCCCCCAGACCAATGAGTTGCGGGTTCAATTCTGGTCAAGGGCACGTACCTCAGTTTTGGTTCGTCCCTGGCCCTGGTTGGGGTTGTGTGGGAGGCAACCAGTCTATGTGTCCCTCTCACATCAATGTTTTTTTCTCTCTCTCCTTCCCTCCCTCCTTCCCTCTCTATCTGAAGATAAATAGAAAAATATCCTTGGGTAAGGATTAAGAAGAAAAAAAATCAAGAGAGCCCTGGCCAGTTTGGTTCAGTGGTTAGAGCGTCAGCCTGAGGACCAAAGGTCAAGAGCACGTACCTGGGTTGCAGATTTGATCCCTGGCCCCAGTCAGGGTTGTGTGGGAGGCAACTAAACGATGTGTCTCTCTCACATTGATGTTTCTCTCTTTGTCTCTCCCTCCCTCCCTCCCTTCCATTCTAAAAATCAATGGAGCCCTGGCAGGTTTGGCTCAGCGGTTAGAGCGTCGGCCTGCGATCCATAGAGACCCAGGTTTGGTTCCCGCTAACGGCACATACCTTGGTTGCAGTTTGTCCCCGGCCCTGGTTGGGTCGTGCGGGTAGCAACCACTCGATGTGTCCCTTTCACATCGATGTTTCTTTCTCTTTCTCTCTCTCCCTCCCACTCTATCTGAACAAAATATGGAAAAATGTCCTCGGGTGAGGATTCAAAAATAAAAAATAAATAAAAAATAATAATAAGTAAATAAATAAATAAAAATCAATGGAAAACTATCCTCGGGTGAGGATTAACAAAGGGGAAAACAAGAAATCAAGAGAAGGCTGAGACTCAGCAGCAATGGAAGAATTAGGAACGATCACCAAGAGCAAAGATGTATCATTAGAGGCCAAGGCCAAGCATCCACACCCTCATATTCCCAATTACTATGTATGGATGCGAATGTTGGATAATGACGAAGGCTGATATGAAAAAAATTGATTAATTTGAAATATGGTGCTGGAGGACAGCTCTACATATACCCTGGACTGCCTGAAAGATAAACAAGCACTTCCTAGAGCAAATGAAGCCTGAAACGTCGCTGGTGCCAAAAATGACAGAACTGAAGCTGCCCTACTTTGGGCACATTCTGAGAAGGCAGAGTTCTTTGGAAAAGACAATAAGGCTGGGAAAAATAGGTAGCAGGAAAAGAGAAAGGGCAAATATGAGATGGATTGACTCCACAAAAGAAGCCATAGGCATGACTTTATAGGAGCAGAGCAGGGCTGTTAAAGATAAGACATTGTTGCCCTGGCTGGTGTTGCTCAGTGGTTAGAGTGTTAGCCTGCACACCAAAGGGTCTCAGGTTCAATTGCCGGTCAAGGGCACATACTTGGGTTGCAGATTTGATCCCTGCCCCGGACTCAGCGTATTTGGGAGGCACCTGATTGATGTGTCTGTCTCACATTCATGTTTCTCTCTCTGTCTCTCTCTCTCTGTCTCTCTCTCTGTCTCTCTCTCTCTCTCTCTCCCCCCTTTCCACTCTCTCTAAAAATCAGTGGAAAAAATATCCTTGGGTGAGGATTAACAACAACAACAAAAAAGAAAGGCCATTGTGGATATCATTCAGAGGGTCACCAGGAGTTGTAGCCAATTCAGCAGAATGTAACACACACAAAATGGTGCTAATAGTTCCTACCTGATAAGATTCTTGTGAAAGTTAAAAGAGATAATGTATATAAATCACTGTGTGAAATACCTGGCAATAGTAAGTACTCAAAGAAAGATATCTTTATTGATATCAGGTCATATATTCGTCCTTGTTGACAAGATGGAAAAATTTGGGCTGTGTTATTTTTATGTGTATCTAGTTGTACCCAAAAAGAGTTCATTAGCCCTGGCTGGTTTGGCTCAGCAGTTAGAGTGTTGGCCGAAGGACCAAAGAGTTGCGGGTTCGATTTCAGTCAAGGGCACGTACCTCAGTTGCGGTTTGTCCCCAGCCCTGGTCAGGGTCCAGCGGGAGGCAGCCAGTCGATATGTCTCTCTCACATTGATGTTTCTCTCTTTCTGCCCCTCCCTCTCCTACTCTAGCTGAAGATAAATGGCAAAGTATTTTTGGATGAGGATTAAAAAAAAAGAATTCATTAAAAAATTTCTTCTTTTTTTAAAAACTTATCTTTATTGTTGAATGTATTACAGATGTTCCCCAGTTTTTCCCTCATTGACCCCCTCTTCCTGGCTCCCACCCATCTCGCCTTCCCCACACTATTGTCTGTGTCCACTGGTTATACATATATGCATATAAGTTCTTTGGTTTATCTAGTCCTGTGCCCCTCCCCCCTTCCCTTTGAGGTTTGTCAGTTTAAAAACCAATTTGTAGTTTTTTTTTTTTTTTTTTTATCCCCACCCGAGGACATTTTTCCATTTTTTGTTCAGATAGAGCGGGAGGGAGAGAGAGGAAGAGAGAGAGAGAGAAACATCAATGTGAAGGGACACATCGAGTGGCTGCCACCCGCACGACCAACCAGGGCCGGGGACAAACTGCAACCGAGGTACATGCCCTTAGCGGGAACCGAACCCAGGTCTCTCTGTACCGCAGGCCGACGCTCTAACCGCTGAGCCAAACCGGCCAGGGCCAATTTGTAGTTCTTAATTCCTTCATCTTTTCACCCATCCTCCCAAACCACCTTCCATCTGGCAGCCAACAAAAAATTCTTTGTATCTATGAGTCTGTTTCTGTTCTGCTTGTTCATTTGGTTTGTAGTTTCCATTGTTGATAGATGTGTATTTATTGCCATTTCATCTATATTTTTGATAATCTTCAAGAAGACCCTTCAACATTTCATATAATACTGGTTTGGCTTTAATATAATTACTTCTTTAGCTTTTTCTTGTCTGGGAAACTCTGTATATGTCCATCGATTCTAAATGACAGCTTTGCAGGATAGTGTAATCTTGGTTGTTGGTCCTTACTTTTCATCACTTTGAATATTTTTTGCCACTCCTTTCTGGCCTGCAAGGTTTCTTTTGATAAATCAGCTGACAGACTTATGGGAGCTCCCTTGCAGGTAACTAACTGATTTTCTCTTGCTGTTTTTAAGATTCTCTCTGTCTTTAACCTTTTACATTTTGATTTATAATATGTCTTGGTGTGGACCTCTTTGGGTTTATCTTGTTTGGAACTCTCTGTGCTTCCTGGACCTGTATGTCTGTTTCCTTCACCAAGTTAGGGAACTTTTCTGTCATCATTTTTTCAAATAGGTTTTGAATTTCTTGCTGTCTCTCTTCTACTTCTGGCACCCCATGTTGCAAATGTTGGTACACTTAAAGTTATCCCAGAGGCTCCTTAAACTATCCTCAGTTTTTTGGATTCTTTTTTCTTTTTGCTGTTCTGATTGGGTGTTTTTTACTTCCTTATGTTCCAGTCCAGGTTTGCTTCTTGGCTTCACCTACTCTACTACTGATTCCCTGCAAATTATTCTTTTAGTCAGTGCATTCTTCATTTCTGACTGGTCCTTTTTTATGTTGTTGATGTTCTCACTAAGTTCCTTGAAATTTTCATTAACTTCCTTGAACTTCTCACTAACTTCCTTGAACTTCTCACTAAGTTCCTTAAGCATCCTTATAACCAGTGTTTTGAACTCTGCATCTGATTGATTGTTTATCTCCTGTTCATTTAGTTCTTTTCCTGGAGTTTTGTTTTCTTGCAATGGGGACATGTTTTTTTGTCTCCTCATTTTGGCTGCCTCTCAATGTTTGTTTCTATGTATTAGGTAGAGTTGCTATGTCTCCTAGGCTTCATAGGGTGGCCTATTGTAGTAGGTGTCCTATAGGGTCCAGTGGCACAGCCTCCCTGGTCACCCCAACTGGGCCCTCAAGGTACACCCCTAGCGTTGACTGTACACCCTTCTATTGTAATTGAGTCTTGATTGCTGTTGGCATATCAGTGGGAGGGATTTGGTCAGGCTAATCAGCTGCAAGGACTGGCTGTGTCTACCTTGGCGCTGACTTCTGACTCCTTTGGAGGATCAGCTGTGCAGGGGCCCACCACACAGAGCAAGACTTACTTCAGGAGGGCTCTGGTACCCACTGAGTCCACTCCTTGAGTGTGTCACTTGTGGAGGTGGTTGGGTGATCTGAAGCTGTCCACTGGGTGTACTGGCCCTGGAGCAAGGTCAGCCACTGCCTCTGTTCTACCTGGGGCGACCAGGCATAAGCTACCAAGAGATCTGCAGATGGTGGGGCTTGGAGGTACCTAGACAAAGCCAAGCTGTGAACCAAGGCTGGCTGCTTCTAGTGCCAGGCCTGGGGCCAGTTAGCGATAGGTATGGGGCTCACTGAGGCCAGATGCTGTTTGAGAGAATTTAGGAGAATCTGAAGCAGGATCCAAGACAAGTCAAGCCTATGGTAAAACCACTGGAAACAGCTTGGGTGGGCCTGAAAGTTGGGTGGGGCAGGTCCTCAGGAATCACCAGGGTGAGGCGAACAGTATGAGCCAGGTTGCTAGAGTCCCAGATATGGTGACCCTCTGCCAGCCCTCTCTGAAGGGTTTACCAAAGGAGAAAGCTGCCACTCCAGCTGTCAGCCCTGATGCCAAACAACTCAGTTCTCCCCCATATGTCTCTGATGCCTTTTAAACTGCCTCCCCCATGCTGGAGCCTGGAGGGAGCAAGTCCAAGTAAGTCTGTGCAGGCCCTTTAGGAGGAACTGCCTGGGACTCTATTAGCCTCAGCCTCCCTCAGCCTCAATTCTTGCTGGTTTTTCTAGCCAGAAGTTATGGGGACTTCTCTTCCTGACACTGGAACCCTGAGCTGGGGTCCTGGTGTGGGACAGGGACCTCTCACTCCTCAGGGAGGACCTTCACAGCCAAAGTATCTCTCCTAATTTTTATCAAACACACATGTGGGTGTGGGACAGCCCATCAGCTCCTCCCCCCAGTCCTACCAGTCTTGGTGTGGCTTCTTTAATTTCGTAGTTGTAGGACTTCCATTCTGCTCGATTTCAGACATTTCTGAATGATGGTCGTTCTGTAGTTTAGTTGTAATTTTGATGTGGGTGTGGGAGGTGAGTACCATGTTTACCTATGCCGCCATATTGACTTGAAGTCTAAAAAATTTCTAGCAAAAGATCTCTAGTAATTTTCCTTAGGACTTTGCTCTTGATCTTCCTGGTCAGCATTTTTATCCTTAGATAAAAATACAGAAGACTTACATTTCAATGTTAGATAAATATTGATTGACAGGTTGGGATTTCAGTTAAATCTCAACAGTCTAGAAAAAGTGGACTGAAAGATAAAATTTAATAGATATAAATCTAAAGCCCTGAGTTTAATTGACTAAAAGCTCATTACTTGAAAAAGTAGGATGGGAGTTACTTAACGCTTCCTGAAAAAAGTTCAAATTAAAAATTTACGGATGAGCCCTGGCCGGTTTGGCTCAGCGGTTAGAGCGTCGACCTGCGGTCCTGGGAGACCCGGGTTCGGTTCCCGCTAAGGGCGCGTACCTCGGTTGCAGTTTGTCCCCGGCCCTGGTCGGTTGTGCGGGTGGCAGCCACTTGATGTGTTCCTTTCATGTCGATGTTTCTCTCTCTCTCTCTGTTCCTCTCTCTCCCTCCCACTCTACCTGAACAAAAAATGGGAAAGTGTCCTCGGGTGAGGATAAAAAAAAAAAGAAAGAAAGAAAAATATACGGATGAGTAGGTGGAGCATAGGGTCAATGGAACTATTCTCTTTGATACTATAATGGTGGATACATGTCATTTTACATTTGTCAAAATCCACAGAATGTACAAATAAAGAGTGAACCCCAACTTTAAAACTATGGACTCTAGTTAATAATGTCTCAGTATTGGTTTATCAATTGTGATAAATATACTGCACCAGTGATTTTCAACCTTTTTATCTCATGGCACACATAAACTAAATACCAAAATTCTGCAGCACACCAAAAAATATATTTAGTTTTTTGCTGATCTTGCCAAAATATATAGGTATGATTTGATTTGTTCATACCGAATGACAATTGTTGTGTTGACTTTTGTCATTTTTTAATATGACAGTCTAGGTGAAAAGAGGTCAGTGGCCCTGGATAAATAGTCAAGTATTGCATGTTTTAAAAATTCTTGTGGTGCAGTAGTTGAAAATCACTGTACCACACTTACGTTACTAACAGAGAAAATTGTGTGAGTGTGTGTGGAGGGTAAGGAAGGTATATGGGGATGCTATATTTTCTGCTTTTTTTTTTCTGTAAGCTTAAATCTGTTCTAAAAAGTAAAGTCTATTAATTAAAAAATAATAATTTATCTAGCCCTGGCCAGTTTGGCTCAGTTGTTAGAGTGTTGGCCTGCGGTCCGGAGAGACCCAGGTTCGGTTCCCGCTAAGGGCATGTGCCTCAGTTGCAGTTTATCCTCGGCCCTGGTTGGGTCGTGCGGGTGGCAGCCACTCGATGTGTACCTTTCACATTGATGGTTTTTTTTCTCTCTCTCTCCCTCCTACTCTACCTGAACAAAATATGGGGAAATGTCCTCGGGTGAGGATAAAAAAAAAATTATCAATAGCTATATCACTGAAATAAAGCTGCTTAAAAGCTAATGCAAGTTTTGGCTGAGGAAGGTAATATTGCCTGAGTATTTCCAGAGGCAACTAATATGAATGGTTTGGAAATCATGTCATGAGAAATGGAGAGAACTGTGAATATTTCTCTGGGGAGGAGAAAACGTAGTGGAGGCAGCTTGATTAAGGACCTCTGATGTTTGAGGACGCTTAGAGAAATAAGAAACAGATTTATTGCAGATATTGTAAGCAAGGATAATTGGGGTTATAGGCCAGAGTATCAAGTTTCTACTCATAGAAAAGGGATAACCTTTTAACAGTAGATAAAATGAAACAACTCAGTCATTGAAAGTAATCAAGCAGTGGCTGGATACTTGAAAAATACCCTCACTGGGATGGTGGTTTAGTTTGACCACCTCTGAGTTTCCTTATAACTCACAGATTATATAATTCCTTGACCTTTACCAGTGAGTTCAACATCATGTGAAAAAAGATGGCACTTGGTGTTATTGTCAAATAGGAGAATTAGGATTCTTGCTTTGACAGGAAGAAGTTAATGCTGTTTTTTTCCTCTCAGATATATATTAGGGCTTTGAATAGAGAATCTAGAGAGAAGTTGTGTGTGTGACTACATCCATACACACACACACACACACACACACACACAGTTATTATATATATAATGCCTATATATATATGTGTGTGTGTTTTTATATATCAATATGTATCCATATATGGATACATAATACATGTACATGTGCATATTATAATTTAGAACTAATTTCTGCCACGAATATACTTTTGGTGTAGAATACTTATTTTAAAATGGTTTTCACCATATTATTTTCTTAAGGAATCATTTACCATTTTTTCCATTACCTTTTTATACCCAGTATAGAAAGAGTGCTGACCTTTGCTTTGACTTCCTGACTACAGTGATCTTTCTCACTACCACTTATTTGCTTCTCTGAAGAACAGGAAATTACCAGAATGATATCAGTCATTTTTATCCAATACTGGGTTAACTTTTTTGTCACAATTTTCATACTTACTGGAAAGCTACATTTATTCACAAAATTTCTCTTTTCTTGGTACCTGTTTTATCACGTAAACAAAGGTTGATATGGAGATTACATAGAAATAATTTTTATTATGGGAAAATTTTGTACCTCAGTATAATTTCCTTGGTTTACTTTTAGTAAATAGACTTTTATTAAAGACAGATCACATCTTATATTTTCTTAACTTGAGGATGGAAGGGGAATGGAAAGTGTATATAAAGGGGATGAATTTGAAATTTCTTTTCACCTGTATAGCCAGCCGTCTTCTGGTTTTATTTTTGTTTTTTAAATCTTCTTCATTCATTTGTTTTTCTTAGATTAATATTTGGGTGGGTTTTTTTTTGACAGGCAGTGATGGTTTCAGAAGATTTTAATATAGAAGCTCCCAACTATTTGTCCAAGGCATCTGAAGTTCTCATTTATGCCAGACAAGATTCACAGTGCATTGATTGTTTCCAAGCTTTTTTGCCTGTGCACTACCGCTACCATCGGCCACATAGTGAAGATGGAGAAACCTTTATTGTGGTCAATAACCCTGATTTACTGATGTATTGTGACCAAGGTGAGAGTTGTACTTCTTTTCTGAGGGTTGAAAATAAAAATAAAGGTATGGTGGCAGATATGAAATCAAAGGATAACAAAAGCATGTTTCTTTTTTCTTTCTTTCAATGTTTTTATTGTAAAATAAAGCATAGATATAGAAAAACTTCACAAATACATAGTTTAATGAATTATTTATGAGGCATATATCCTTGTAACTTCCACCCAGGTCAAGAAATAGAACTTTGCCAGCCACCCTAGCAGCGACTCTATGTATCCTGTCTCAAGCATAGCCTCCTCCTTTCTCCTAGGACTGAACTCACTATCCTGACATTTAATCACTTCCTTATATTTCTTTATACTTTTATCATCCAAGTGGGCATTCTTAGAAACTATAGCTTAGTCTTGCTCTTCAAAATGTTCTCAGAGTTGGGGTTTTGGTGATAGTACTCATGCAGTTCATCTGACTCTTTTATTTCCTGGAAATTGGCAGTTGGCTCCAGAGGTATGATCAGATTCAGATTTGCTTCTTTTGGCAAGACTATAGGTGTTCTTTTATAAGTAGATGTATAATGTCTGGTGTATTTCTGTTTTCAGCCATTGATCCTCATTGCCCTTTTGCTGTTTTCTATTTATTCATGCTGATATTACAGTACTTACAGCTATTGGTGTTTTGTTTCCACTTGCATGTATTTGGTATTTGAGGGGGTACTTTATCACCTTGTTTTGCTATAAACGTGGTCTGTGAGTGTTTGGTTGCTGCCCAGCTGGTGTGGCTCAGTGGTTGGGTGTCAACCCATGCACCAAGAGGTCACCAGTTCGATTCCTAGTCAGGGCACATGCCCAGGTTGTGGGCCCAATCCCCAGTGGGGGGCATGCAGGAGGCAGCCAATGGATGTTCTCTCTCATTGGTGTTTCTCTCTCCCTTCTTCTCTCTCTAAAATCAATAAAGAAAAAAAACTATGCTGTCACCATTTTCAGTTTTCCTAGAATCAAGACTTCTTTAATTTAATAAACCTCTTTCAGATTTTTGTTCTTTGTGTCTCCGAATTTGGGCTGATTAGAACATTTGCAAAAGTCAGTAGCACCATTACTAAAGACAAGCAGATAGGAAGTTTTTAATCCATACATTTGTTGCCATCATATGTTTCATTATGAGAAAATAAAAATGTGTTCAACTATGATAGTTTTGTTCATCCAACCTAGTTTTCTGTTTCTATTAATGGTACCTTTGACTTATCCTAACTAAAGTTTGAAAATGTGTCCCCTCCTGAGAGAGCATCTGGGGTTCTGTTATTGTTTGATTTTTGGTCTGTTTTTTATATAGGTGTGTTTACTCTTTGAAATTTATTGAGTTGTATGCTTAGGATCTGTTCACTGTTCTAAATATGTGTTATACTTTAAGAAAAAGTTTCATTTACAAAATTTAAAAAGTGGCCCCTAGTATAATGGGGTTTGTTAAGAAGTCATGCACAGTCTTTGTGATTTCATAATTTCTTAGGCATTCCCTTAGAACAGGCTGTTAAAATAAAACATGTGATAGATCCAAATCATGTACATTGTGTATTAAAATGTTTGAATACTCATATCCCATCATGACAGATTGGCCTAGCCTCTAATCCAGATACAGGTTTTGTGATATAATCTTCTACCACTTTTTCTCAGAGTTTCCAATTTTGAAATGCTGGGCTCAGTCAAAAGTGGCAGCTCCTTGTGCTTTGAAGAATAAGGATATTTGCCAGTGGAACAATATGAAATATAAATCAGTAAGTTAATATTTTAACTTAGAATTTTATATTTGACCATAGGAAGCTGTTTTTTCTTTTATTTTTAATGTTTCTTTTCTATGGATGGCAACAGTGGTTCCTCCTTTATATAGAATCATGGAATCATTTAATTTGGGGGGTAGAGATTTAATGTTAGTCCCATGCCTCTTGGTCAGAGCTTAACTAGAGCTGATAGACTATTTAAAGGTATGAAATGGCTAAGAAAGACAGTGGTATGTCCATCTGGTTAAAACTTAATTTTGTCTAGAATGTTTTATTAATTTTTGAACAACAAAATAAATTAGTTAACTTCATTGTATTTCACAGAACAAGTGAAAAAAAGGAAAATAATACTCAAAGTAGTATGATTTCAACTGTAATAGTTTTTAGACAATTGTATTGCTGTTATATATCTAAACCTAGGCTGTTTTCAGGCCATTTTTAGAATTTTGACCTCTCAAGTTGTTTTTAATTATTAAACTAGGTAAGTATTAATACTTCATTAACACCGGTTTTGTCTAAGAAGTCTACAGTTTTCTTCTTATCTTCCTTAGATAACATATTCTACTTCTTTCCTCTCTTCAGAGTGGTTAAGTCTTTTTTTTATATATATTAATATGTTTTTATTGATATTTTTAGAGAGAGAGGAAAGGAGAGATAGAAACATCGATGTGAGAGAGAATATCGATGGGCTGCCTCCTGCTGGGAATCAGGCCTACAACCTGGGCATGTGCCCTGACCAGGAATCGAACTGGGACCTCTCAGTCCATGGGATGATGCTCAATCCACTGAGCCACAGTGGCCAGATTGGTTAAGTCTTTTTGCAACATCTCCAGCCCCTCTCCTCTTCTTGGAGGTGAGGGGTAGGACTGAAAGATCCACCTCTCTTATCACATGATTGGCTCCATTGGCAACCAGCCCTCATCTTTAGGTGCTTTCCAAAAGTTACTTCATCAACATAAAAGACACCATGCTCACTCTCAACACTTAAGAAATTCCAACAGTTCAGGAAGCTTTGAGCCAGAAAGGGGAATGAAAAACAATTATGTATTTCCTATTATTATTATTATATAAATCACAATATCACACATGTTACCTCAGTTTATTTCAAACTCTAAGATACATCTGGAGAATTGCATTTAATTTTCTTATGTTAATGAAGAGTATGATTACTGTTTATTTATGATTTATTGCTTTAAAATTTGGTAGTGTGCATTGCTATAAAATAAGTAATTACCCTGTTAAAATATTAGGAATTCAATTCTCTTTAAGACCATGTAACTTGAAATAAGTGGTTCTATTTAAGCAGTTTGAGTTTTTTTCTTTGCTTTGTGTTATAGGTGACCATTACCAAGGTGATGATCTATACCAAGGCTTGTTTGTTTAAGATGCCAGTTTTTGAAAGATAATTTTCAGATAGCACTTTGTTACAGATTGTGTTGGTAACATAATCTTTTTTGGAGGTGAAATTATAATCTAAGTATTTATAAAAAGAAGCCAAAAATAAAAACATTACCACATTTTAAATGTTTTTAAAATCTATTTTTAGTCTGGCCTGTGTGGCTCAGTGGTTGAACGTTGACCCATGTACCAAGAGGTCGCTGGCCAGGGCACATGCCCAGGTTGTGGGCCCAATCCCCAGTGGTGGGCATGCAGGAGGAGGCCAGTCGATGTTCTCTCTCATCGATGTTTCTATCTCTCTCTCCCTCTCCCTTCCTCTCTCTCTCAAATCAATAAAGAGCCTTGGCCGGTTTGGCTCAGCAGTTAAGAGCATTGGCCTGTGGTCCAGAGAGACCCGGGTTCGGTTCCTGCTAAGGGCACATACCTCTCCCTCCCACTCTATCTGAACAAAATATGGAAAAGTGTCCTTGGATGAGGATAAAATAAGTAAGTAAATAAATAAAGAAAGAAAGAAAGAAAAAAAAAATTAAAAGCCTATTTTTAAACCATAAAATTTCTCAGAGTTTCTAATTGAACCCTTTATTTTCAAAACCAAATAGAAAATTGAAACTAAGTTGAACATAGGAGCACTTTTGTATTGCTAGTCATTATCACAACTAATTTGGTGTGTTAACAGGAAACATTTAGTTGTGTGATATGTGAAAAACAAACTTTTAAAAACTAGGAAGAGAAAGAGCAAAACAAAAATGAATGGATACTTTAGTTTTATTGTTATTTTAATATTTTTCCTTTAGGGATTCAACTTGGAGAGAATTCTGTATTCTAATATGAAATTAGTAAGGGGAAGTAAATGTTTATATTGGTTACAGAGTTGACATTTGGATTTAGCCTACGTTTTTTAAAAAGAATATATTCGCCCTGGCTGGTTTTGCTCAGTGGTTAGAGCATTGGCCTGTGGTCCAGAGAGACCCTGGTTCAGTTCCCACTAAGGGCACGTACCTCAGTTGCAGTTTGTCCCTGGCCCTGGTTGGGTTGTGCGGGTGGCAGCCACTCGATGTGTCCCTTTCACGTTGATATTTCTCTCTCTCTCCCTCCCAGTCTATCCGAATAAAAAATGGAAAAATGTCCTCAGGTAAGGATTAAAAAAAAAAAAAGAATGTACTCAATTCTATGTAAAAAGTAGAAAAGGTCAAAACTAAGAATTTAAGAATTATTGTGGGAATTGAGTCTGATTTTATTACATTAAATAAAATGTTTAATCCAAAAAAAATCATTCAAAAATGTTTCATGTAGTGTAGAATATTTAAAAGAAAAAAATTAAAAATAAAGAAATAGTGATCTCACTTAGAACTTGCATGTTAAATGTCTCTAACTTCTATATCCACCTCTCTTCATAGGTATATAAGAATGTGACTCTACAGGTTCCAGTGGGACTGACTATACATACCTCTTTAGTATGTTCTGTGACTCTGCTTATTACCATCCTGTGTTCTACTTTGATCCTTTTGGCTGTTTTCAAATATGGCCATTTTCCCCTATAAGTTTTATGCAATTAAATGCTTTCTATAAACCCAAATAAGACCTAATCATTTGTGACTAGAAGTGTTCTTCTAGAATTGTCATTACTTTTGTCTTTTGTCTTCATTTTTGGATAAACATGTTTACTGGAGGAAATTTTGGATCATTCTCAGCTAATTCCAAAATTTAGTGCTCTGTTGTGTAGACCTTTGATAATCTTCAAGCATCTAGTGCCAGTAGAGGAGACTTAATTCTGTTAAATTACTATTTATTTTGTGAGAAGTGACTTTATCTTTATTTGGGTTACAAAAATGAGTACTTTATCTATTAGAGACAAATTATTCTCATTTTATGAATAGAAACATTTCAATTTAAGCTAAAAATTGAGAAAAATCATTATAAATAAGAAAATAATTTGGATGAATGAATTTATTTAAATCTTAATTTTATGAGAACACTGAAGTCATTTATCCAGAGTTTCAAAGAAAATCATTAAAGTAGAACAGGTAAAATATTAATATCAAAATTGATTATTCCTTAAAACATTTCTATTCTCCTTTTATATTTTATCAGTATATGAATTGTCAAAGGGCTTGATGAAACTAAGTACTAAGATTTAGTACTAAATCTGTCAGGAAGACAGTTCAGAAAGAGTATATTTTATTAAGTTGTACATTTACAAAAAAATTTTTTTTGTATCTTCAGGTGATTTTTTTTTTTTTAAACGAAAGATCTTGCCCTGGCCAATGTGGCTCAGTAGTTAGAGGGTCAGCCTGTGCACGGAAGGGTCAAGGGATTGATTCCCGGTCAAGGGCATGTACCTGGGTTGCAGGTTTGATCCCTGGCCCGGAAAAGGGTTCATTGGGGAGGCAACCAATTGATGTGTCTCTCACATCAATGTCTCTCTCTCTCTCTCTCTCACCCGCTCCTTTCTTCCCTCCCTTCCACTCTCTCTAAAAACCAATGGAAAAATATCTCTGGTGGCCAGCTGGTGTCGCTTAGTGGTTGAGCGTTGACCCATGTACCAAGAGGTCACCAGTTCAATTCCCGGTCAGGGCACACGCCCAAGTTGTGGGCCCGATCCCCAGTGGTGGGTATGCAGGAGGCCACCAGTTGATATTCTCTCTCATTGATGTTTCTATCTTTCTCCCTTTCCCTTCCTCTCTCTCTAAAATCAATAAAAAATTATTAAGAAATATATATATGTATATCCTTGGGTGAAGATTAAATCAATAAAAAGAAATTATTAAGAAATATATATATATATATATATATATATATATATATATATAATCTCCTTGGGTGAGGATTAACAACAACAAAAAAATCTTGATTTAGAACAAAAAATCTGTATTAGTAAACACAACTATGCTAAAAAGTTTAAAGTCATACAATATATTGTTATGTACATAAAGTTTGTTAATACAGTCGTAGCGTTCTGTACATACATGTGTTACATTTCTACATTTTTAACACTTCATATCAGCTTCTGCATTAAGTTTAATCGTGACACATTTGTGCTGTTCTTAGTGTATGCAGGACACTTGACTTTACTGTTTTATTCTTGTACATAAAAATTGCAATATGTACCTGTATACAGACTATATATGTTAGATTTATAAACTCTTTTCAAAAGTTCATCCTTTTGCCAAAGTGGTGGAGTATATAATTGGTAAATCATAAATCCTGTGGTGAATAATGGTGTGATTTAAAGCTTTTGCCATGTTATATTTTCTTTTGAGACACTAATTTAGTAATTTTGTATTGGGGGAAATACGAGTTTTTAATTTTATTTAACTAGAATATTTGTCCTCCTGTAATTAAACATTCTGTACCATATCTGTATTAAAAATACATTGTGCGCCCTGGCCGGTTTGGCTCAGCGGTTAGAGCGTCGGCCTGCAGTCCTGAGAGACCCGGGTTCGATTCCCGCTAAGGGCACGTACCTCGGTTGCAGTTTGTCCCCAGCCCTGGTCGGTTGTGCGGGTGGCAGCCACTCGATGTGTTCCTTTCACGTCGATGTTTCTCTCTCTCTCTCTCTCTCTCTCTGTTCCTCTCTCTCCCTCCCACTCTACCTGAACAAAAAAAAAAAATGGAAAAATGTCCTCTGGTGAGGATAAAATAAATAAATAAATAAAAAAAATACATTGTGCCCTGGCCGGTTTGGCTCAGCGGTTAGAGCATCAGCCCGAGGACCAGAGAGACCCGGGTTCGGTTCCTGCTAAGGGCACATACCACGGTTGCAGTTTGTCCCTGGCCCTGGTTGGGGTCATGTGGGTGGGAGCCAGTTGATGTGTCTCTCTCACATCAATGTTTTTCTCTCTGTCTTCCTCCCCTCTCTCTCTCCCACTCTATCTGAAGATGAATGCAAAAAGTGTCCTCAGGTGAGGATAAAAAAACCACAAAAACATTGCTTCCTGGCCAGTGTGGCTCAGTGGTTGAGCATCAACCCATGCACCAAGAGGTCACAGGTTTGATTCCTGGTCAGAGCATACGCTCAGATTCCCAGCTTGATCCCTAGTAGGGGTCGTGCAGGAGGCAGCTGATGGATGGTTCTCTCTTATCAGTGTTTCTCTGTCTTCCTTTTTTTTTGTTCTCCCTCTAAAAAAACAAAAAAAATAATGTTTTTTTTTTAAAAAAAGGTCTCAATTTATTATTTTTCTTTGGAAAAATATTAGACAATAAAGTAAGTGCCATAGGTAATTAAAAAAATTAAAGGACAAGTGTGCCCTTCTATTTATTTAGGGCAAGCATGTTCTGAAACAGAAGCCAATAAACCAGGGTATGTTGGCATTGTTTGTTTTAAATAGCATAATGGGATATAATATGTTTTTATATGCAATAACTGCTTAATTTCCTAAAACATTCTGGTGTGTTTTTTTTGTTTGTTTGTTTTTATCCTCACCCTAGGACATTTTTCCATTTTTTGTTCAGACAGTGGGAGGGAGAGAGAGAGAAACATCGATGTGAAAGGGGCACATCAAGTGGCCGCCACCTGCACGACCAACCAGGGCCAGGGACAAACTGCAACCGAGGCACGCACCCCTGGTGGTAACCAAACCTGGGTCTCCCTGGATTGCAGGCCGATGCTCTAACTGCTGAGCCAAACCAGCCAGGGCCATTCTGGTATTTTTATGGGAATAAATCTCTTATAATTTGACATGTATGGCTTGACTAATCATAACATTTCTTCTTGAAGATGTGGTCAAAAACTTAAATATTGGCCCTGGCTGGTGTGGCTCAGTTGGTTGAGCATCATCCTGTGCACCAAAAGGTCACCAATATGATTCCTGCTCAGGGCACCTGCCCAGGTTACAGGAGGCAACTGGTCTGTGTTCTCTCTCACATTGATGTTTCTTTCTTGCTCCCTTTCCCTTCCTCTCTCTCTAAAAAATCAATAAAACTATACTTAAAAAAAACACTTAAATATTGAAAAAGACAACCCAATGCCATAAAACAGAAATATTAGAAACGTTTAAAATAACTAAAATTTCAACCCAATCTACTTTTATATTTGTTTAGAGTTTTTTTTTTTTAAGAATTCTATGTTTTACAAGCATTTCTTTCACAGTGGAATTAATATAGTGGCATTAAAATGGATTTTGTGTCAGGTAAAATTCAGTAATATCAACAGACATTTTCGAGTATGGTTTAACAGATAGGGTTAACATGGTACTGTTTAACCTCTTAAGAGTGTGTGTGGATACTCTCTGCACTTCTGGTCAAGATGGCAGCGTAGGTAAACGCGGTAGTGCGTCCTCCCACAACCACATCAAAGTTACAACTAAACTACAGAACAGCCATCATTCAAAACCACCTGAAATGAAGCTGAATGGAAGTCCTACAACTATGGAATTAAAGAAGCAGCCACATCGAGACTGTTAGGAGGGGCAGAGGCAGATGGGCTGGTCCCACACCCACATGTGGCGGATAAAAATCAGGAGGATACCTCGGCTGGGAGGGTCCTCCCTGAGGACTGAGGGGTCCCTGTCCCACACCAGGCGCCCCGCTCAGGGTTCCAGTGCCAGGAAGAGAATCCCCATAACTTCTGGCTGGAAAAACCAGCGGGAACTGAGGCTGAGGCGGCTGGAGCCCCAGGCAGCTCCTTAAAGGGCCCGCGCATGGACTTACCAGACTCACTCCCCTTGGAGGGGAGGCAGCTTGAGGGGCACCAGAGACATACAGGGAAGAACTGAGTTGTTTGGCATTGGAGCAAGGGCTGGAGAGGGGGCTTTCCCCGGGACAAATGTGCTGTCAGAGGCCTTTGTTCCTTTGGTGAGTTCTTCCCTGGGGCAGCAGATAGCCGCCATACCTGGGACTCCAGCAACCTGCCTCACACTAGTTGCCTCGCCCTGGTGATTCCTTGAGGCCCTGCCCCACCCAACTTTCAGGCCCACCCAAGCTGTTGCCAGTTGCTTAACCATAGGATTGGCCTGTCTTGGATCCTGCTTCAGGTTTTCCTAAATTCTTTCAAACGAGCAGCATCTGGTCTCAGCTAGCCCCATACCTCTCGTTAAGTAATACATAGAAACAAAGACAGGGAGGCAGCCAAAATGAGGAGACAAAGATACAGGTCCCAAATGAAAGAACAGAACAAAACCCCAGGAAAAGAACTAAACAAAATGGAGATAAGCAACCTAACAGATGCTGAGTTCAAAATACTGCTTAAAGGATGCTCAATGAACTTAGTGAGAACCTCAGCAAACTTAGTGAGGGCCTCAAGAGCAAAAAAAGGACCAATCAGAAATGAAGGATGCATCGTCAGAAATGAAGGAGGCACTAACTGAAATAAAGAATAATTTATACAGATTCAATAGTAGAGTAGGTACAGCCAAGAAGCAAACCATCGATTTGGAATCTAAAGAAGCAAAAAACACCCAATCAGAACAGCAAAAAGAAAAAAGAAGTCAAGTAAATGAGAGTGTAAGGAGCCTCTGGGACAACTTCAAGTGTACCAACATTCACATCTTGGGGATGCCAGAAGAGAGAGAACAAGAAATCGAAAACCTGTTTGAAACAATAATGGCAGAAAACTTTCCTAACTTGGTGAAGGAAACAGACATACAAGTCCAGGAAGCACAGACAGTCCCAAACAAGATGAACCCCAAGAGGCCACACAAGACACATCATCATCAAAATGCAAAAGGTTCAAGACAGCCCTGGCCGGTTTGGCTCAGCGGTTAGAGCGTCGGCCTGCAGTCCGGAGAGACCCAGGTTCGGTTCCCGCTAAGGGCACGTACTTCGGTTGCAGTTTGTCCTCGACCCTGGTTGGTCGTGCGGTGGCAGCCACTCGATGTGTCCCTTTCACATCGATGTTTCTCTCTCTCTATCTCTTCCTCTCTCTCCCTCCCACTCTATCTGTACAAAAAATGGAAAAATGTCCTCGGGTGAGGATAAAAAAAAAACCCC